AACAAAAGAATACCATAAAAGTAAATATAGTCAGTGGGAAATGTGAATAACAAAATCACAATATAGTTAGTCAGACCTAACCGAGTAAATATGCATCATTTCAAATCAGGGTTATCAGTTGGGTTACTTTGTCCTCAGAATCAGAATCGCATCAGTTCCTTTCTTTCACGCTGAGAAGCATAGATGGAGATCATTTTTTTGGCTCTAAAAGCATAGATTCATTATATCTTTTGATGATAGAAATAGAGATAGAGTGAATTATTTGGACAGCGGAGGTTGAGGTATACTGAAGCATTTTGACTTGCAGATTCTCAGTGCTTTTCGGTAACCTATGGGAATGCATAAAGAATTAATGGAGACAAGTTGTGAAAACGGTCCCTATTGTATGATTGTGAACATAGAGAAAATTATCGCCAATTCAAATTGAGTCCAATAGAGAAAATTAATATGAGACTGTTTTCTTTGTATTGATACAGATAGAACTCTTTTTCACAACTAGAATGATGAGCAACATATTATTATTGATAACAGGGCATTATTTGGGATTTTTTTAGAAAAGTAATCCGATGCATATTTTCGAAACTTGGCCCTGAAAATTCGAGAAAGCATTTGATTACAGGCCTAACAAGGAAGATTACTGACGATCTTGCAGCTTAAAATGACTATATATTCTGGGAGAAGGAAATTTAGGGGGACATCTCAGTGATTTATGACTCGATTCAAGAAGTAGAAAAATGAACGGAGTACAATAGCAATAAAGGTGGAAACGTTATGCTCTTTCTTTCCTAATTCTAGACATGTCTCTTCTTTAAGTTCTTTTTTCATTTCGTGGTAAGCCGTAAGAAAAGATTAGTTATCTATGTTCTTTTCTATTGCTACAAAATTAATGCAGAATACTTCGATTTTATGTTTCCAGATAAGTGCAATCTGGAGTAATGGGTTTGAATTGCTCAGGAGGAAATCATGATGTTTCAATCAAGCTTCATACCCCTACTCATTAAGGAATAACGGAGGACATGGGCTATGCTCTCATTTTTCTCTTTCAATCCACTTTTCTTCTCAATGCCCTAGCTAAGTGTTATGGGGGGTTGAGCTTCAAAATCAGATTCCAAAATTTATTCCTCAACCGGTCACCACGAATTGCACACTATACCCTCTCAGAGCTTGTGGCACTGCAGCCATCCAATCCCCAAGCAAGAATCTTTGTTCCGTTTAAACTTCCCTCCTTTCTTTGCGCACTATACCCTCCCTCTCTCCGTTTCTGGTTGCTTCTGCTTTCCTCCAGTGCCCCCCCTCTCCGACTGTTGATCACCTTAGCTGGTGTGGCCCAGGTATTCATCACCACTTGCACATCTGCTCCTTGGTAGCCCCTCCCTGCCCTTGATGAAGAAAATGCCCATCCCTAACCCACCGGTCCAGTTAAATCCCTGGTAATAATGCCTTTCATGGTTATTTATGATACCCCCTGTCAAGGAAGAAAAGCAGGTTCCTAACCCAACATCTTCTCTCCCCACGCCATCTTTAAGTAGTCGTTTTCAGTACAAATTAAAATTTAAAGAGGCACCAGGTGCCCCTGTAATATTTTGAAAAAATGCAGGAAGTAACTTCCAGAATAATAACTATGATGATACCTTGAATGGAACATCTTCTTTGCTACCTCGAACCGACTTAATCAAACAATTTCGCTGAAACATTTTATCTGTACTTCCAATGTGTTTTATATATTTGAACTCCATTATTGCTCTCACATTATTATCCGCGTTTTCATTTTTTTCTAATTAGCAAGAGTGGCGTTAATTCCCGTTTGATAATTGTTTATAGTTGACAGTGACGTTGTTTGTACTTTCAGTGGCAGAATTTTGCGGAAATGTGGAACTCTGCAGACTCACTGAGCAGGTTGTCTTCTCAGACCCATACAAGGTGGCTCCACACAACCGTTGGACATCTCCTTATCTGGATGAGGACGCACAAGCCATCCGAGAGGATGACATTCTAAAGTTGGAGGTTGCTGGGTTGAAATCCATGTATACATGTTTCATCCATCACCATGTGTTCTATGTTGCAGCTTTTGTTGTGCTTTGAAACTATTATATCGCATTTATTTAGTCTTGCTTGTGGGCAGGTTCTGTGAGAGAGCCCAAGCCTTAATTCATGGAGATCTCCATACAGGCTCTATCATGGTGACTAGTGATTCAACACAGGTTATAGATCCAGAGTTTGCTTTTTATGGACCAATGGGCTTTGACATTGGTGCATTCCTGGGAAATTTGATTTTGGGTTTCTTTGCACAAGATGGGCATGCTAATGAAGATAGTAATCGAGAGGTATTAAGCAAGTTTTTATTTTTTCCTGTTTATTTATTTCTCATGATACCTTAGTTATTGTAGGAAGTATTTTATAGTCTGCAATATCCTTTGTCTAGTTGACTAACAAAGTGTGATATGATGTCATTCTTCCCAGTTCCCCGCCAAGTAAGGCTGTCTTCTTGCTAGCTTCATGTTCGTACTCTTATATCTGTGAAATTGAGAGAAAATGCTCGATAATAAGAAGGGGGAAATCCGATCTAAAATAGAGGAGAAGAGATTGACAGGGCATGGTTTCCAGAGAGGAAACCCTAGAATGTTTCTAAGGGGCGAGTTCGAGAGCAACCCCAGCTCTCCCAGCTGAATTCTTCCAAATGTGTCCCCCATTAACCCCTAAGGTTCCTCTTGCCCATCCCCTTTGCGAACTCTTGCCCCGTTTACCACTGGGCCCTCCCGTAACTTATCCTCCCCTTTATGTCCGTAAGTTGCCCAGATAATGGGCTTGGTAGTGGGCCTAACATCTTATTATTGTTTCCTAATTTCATTCACATTTCTTCAATCCTAGAATAATTGCATGAGCTATGATAATTATGACAGTAATTTCTCTGATTGTGGTGAATCATACCTGTTGGAATGGAAATTATGTGTTTCTTCGTCCCTTTTTGTGGATTATTTTAGAGCACAACTTGGCATCTATGTAGCTCTTTAAAAACGAAGATGTGACCAGTCCATGGATGTAGACAGGTGACTTAGCCTAACAGGATTTGTCCATATTCACAGATCATCATGCACTTTGTAATGAAATTTGTTTGTGCTATAAATTACTTTCATGATTGTTGTTTTGTTGTGAGTCTGAGTTAAACTTTGCAGTGATACTTGTTATATTTAGGACAATGATGTTAAGCATTACGATCAGAGTCACATTACTGTAGTTTCTTCTAGGTAGTTCATGGTGCTTGGACATCGGGGGTTTCATATTCTTGCTCGTCTTAAGAATTGTCCTTCGTTTTCTTTTCTTTCACTGTGAAAGCTGTGCACCATTTCCATTGATTGAGCGTGTTCCCTTCCATTGTTTTGATCCATGGTGCCTCCATTATGGATTGCAGTTTATGCATAAAAGCAATGCAAGAAGAAACTTGCATCTTTGCATTATGTAGATGGTACAACTGTTGATATGAATTACAAATTTCACTTGAACCGTTTTCTATGCAGCAATATAAAAATTGGATTTTAAAGACCGTTGAGGATACATGGAATCTTTTTCACAAGAAGTTTATTTCACATTGGAATGAGCACAAAGATGGCTCTGGTGAAGCATACCCTTCACCAATATACAGTAAAGCGGAACTTCTGCAGCAGGTTCAGAGCATCTACTTGGAAGATTTATTTCATGATAGCCTCGGATTCGGTGCTGCAAAAATGATAAGGTGTTATTCTTTTTCTTAAACTCGATCTGGCTCCGTGGTTCCTCCTCAATATCAATTGAATGTGCTTTACTTCAAGCCCTTCTTCCTCTTTCCTTTCCCGGTTGTTAGTAGATACCTGATATGCAGGATGGCGTCTAGGTCACTTAGCTAGCTGGGTTCTTTTCGAAGGGATCTGGGATCTTGAGGAGCGAATCGTCACTCACTTAATCTTTTTCTTTGCAAAGCCATAGGCACATAGAAGCAACGTTGATCCAACCCTGGGTTTATTTTGATGGATATCCTCGACGAATTGGGAGTGGTGGTATACTTATTATGCCTATTTGCACTTCATAATTGTTATCTGTTTCACTTGACTAGCAGGCATAAGTCCGTCTGTCTGATGTTTTCACTCTTCCATGGAAAATGCCTTTAATCGATCAATCATCATCATCATCATCATGGAGAATTGTATCAATGTTCGTTTTAGTGAGTTTCACCTGTTCTGGAAAATGCCCAAGAAAATTGGTCGGACTCAGTTTGCATGCTAATGTGGCCAAAGCAGATGAGATGCTATTACCGCGCTGTTCTGAGTAAAAAAAGGCCCCATCTTCTCTGTTCTGTGAAAATATGAGGATCTTTCCAGCTTGGAAATTCTTCAGTTATTTGTTCCATTTGATAGTGGTGGGAAAATCGAAGTGGGGGTAGTGTGGAGATGGACTCAGAGCTTTAGTTTCCCAGGAAGAAGAAGGCCTCTGCCGTGACCAGGCAAGGCAGGTCGCGTTATGTGGCTGTTGTTGTGTAGCTTTCGGCTCATGCGCATATCTGTTGTGGCCTGCAGGAGAATAGTGGGCATTGCCCATGTGGAGGATCTTGAATCGATCACCGACACCAGCAGACGAGCACATTGCGAGCGCCGGGCCCTAGAGTTTGCGAAGACGCTTCTCAAGGAAAGACGGCAATTCCGTACCATTGAAGAGGTCACTGCAGCAGCCCTTGCATCTGTCTGATGCTGCTGGGAGCGAGTTCAGCGGCTCTGCTCTGCGATGCATGGGAAAAGAACTCCTGTGAGCTGGACACGGTGGTTGGTGCCCCGCAGTTGTTGTGCTCAGAAGTAGATCGAATCGCCTCGGCCATCTCCACAGTGGTGGTCTTCGTTCCGCCTCTCGGCCAGTTCCAACCTAGATATGTATATAACTCTAACTAATCATCAGGAGAATACAAACATGGGCTTGGATTCCGAAAGATTTGCTCGTGCTCCTGTTCGCCCCCGCAGGCCACTCCGCTGATGTGCCGGCACCGAAGATAGTTAGTACTAGTACATATACGCTATGGGCACCGAAGATGGTTAGTACTAGTACATCTCCACAGTCAGGAGGTACCCACCGGCCTCTACACACCCCCCTCGTACACCCCTATTAGACTAGCGGGTGTGCGTGAGACGCGCAGTGCACGGGCATGACAAGTCAACACTTTGCCCTCACCACCCCTCCCCCTCCTCCCCTTTTTCTCTCTCTGTTGCCGGGGTCTCCTTGGGCCCGATTTCTCCCTCCCTTTGTGCCCCCACCCCCTCGGGTGATTCGCCAGGGGGGCGTAGGCCCCACTCCTCTTCTCTCCCCTCTTGTGACCGTGTAAAAGAGTAGGTGGCTACAACCCCCTTCCCCCTCCAACCCCTCTTAAGCGAGGTGGGTCGAGACGGCACGGAACGGGCTGGTGTCGGTGGGTGCAGCGGCATGGTGTGGCATGGGTGAGGCGATGTGACATGGCACGGAGCGGCTCGTGTCGGCACGCTCGGGAGACGAGCGGTGCACGGCATAACTGCCGCGGCGCACGGCCCGGGCGTAACTGCCGCGGTATGCGCAGGAGGCACACGGCGCATGACGTAACCGACGCGGCGCACACACGAGGGAGACGAGGCAACACTCGGGGTCCCCCGTGCTCTCCCCCCCCTCCGGTGACCTTTTGACGGCCATTAGGTCCCCACCACAGCCAGCCCCCCCGCCTCCCACCCCTCCTTCCTTTCTCAGGTGGACCCGGGAGCAGCGATTTCGGGGTGGGGCGGAGGTCCCCTCCCCCCCAACCCCACTCTCCCCTCTGGTGACCCCCCGTGACGATGGGTTGGAAGAGTGGCTCTGTCCGGTGGGAGAAGACCGGCGCACAGCTGACCACAGCTCCTGCAAGGAAGCTGCAAAAGGAAGAACCGAGGAGGACAGATGACGTCATCCCTCAAGAGCAGCATCAAAATTTCTGACTCAATTTTTTTTTTCAAGGCTATTACTACGATTAGGAGAGAAGTTAGAAAATCAAGCAGTAATTTCTCAAAAATAACATGCAGATTAGGCAATAACTTATGAAGTGGATTCTATAATCTATTTTGACACTTTTCATTTGATGTTTTACATGACATTACTTAATGTGACATTTATCATCATTTTACTTAGATTAACATGTAAAATGGTACATTAACTTGAATCATTACTAATCTTTTGGCAGTACTAATAAGAATTCAAATTCGGACTAATAGTGATTAAAAATATCATGTTCAAAGGTAAGATAAGTTATAGCTTAATCTATTTGCCTCATACAGGTCTCAAATTCTTATAGCAAGTGTCAAGGGCAAATTATATCTCAATTGTGCAAACATTCCTCAAGATTGCATTCAAACTTTCATCTTTATATCAATGCAAAGTCAACACTTTTAGCTTGTAAATATCACCCAATAGATATTTGAAAAACTTAATCTAGCACTCCAAAACAATCTCCATTCTATAAAACTCAATCTGGTATCCAAAGGGAGGAGAGTAAATAAGTAATTCACTTATCTAGAAACCTGATTTTTAGAGTTTCACTCTGTCTAAGGCTTTTTTTTGACAAGAGGAGAGTGAATAAACACTTCTCGTGTCTAAAAACCTAATTTTTAGAGCTTCACTCTGCCTCTTTTTTTTTTCATATTTAGACAAGTAACTTTTTCCTCACATGCTTTTTATTTACAAGAGGAGAGTGGATAAGCACTTCCCTATCTAAAAACCTGATTTTTGGAACTTTACTCTGTCCTCTTTTCTCTCTTTCTTTGTTTCATATGTAGATAGGTAGCTTTCTCCTCATAGTCCTTTTTTTTTATGAGGAGAGTGGATCAGCACTTTTCTTGTCTAAAGACTGATTTTTTGAGCTTCACTCTGTCTACTTTTCTTTTTCTTTCTTTCATATAGACAAGTAACTTTTCTCTCACATGCTTTTTATGGTGAGCTTTTGACCTTTCCCTATGATTACTTTGATTGAAGAATTTAGAACTTCAACCACCCTGAAATGTTCAATAAGACTCTCAATACCTACTAGGTGATATCTATTGAAATATAAAGTGTAGATCTCATAAATTTAATTTCATAAAAAATTAATATGCACTTGAGGAGCATTTTCATAATTACTTTATTATTTCAAACCTTGTAGCTAACCATAATTATCCAAAATGGTCTGAGTGCAAGTAGTGTTTTAACTTTTCTTCTTTTATTTATGAGCACTATGTTGTACAAGTATAATACATAGAAAAGATAAAAAAAAATATTTTAATCATAATTTATCACAAACAAGAAGCAAGATATTGTACAAGTATATATGATGTTTCATATGGAGTTCAATTTCCTTTAGATCATATCATGTAAAAAAAAAAGGGAATGTCAACCTGCACTTCAAATTTTAAAATATTGAACCAGACTAATCATTTTTTAAACGCAAGTATATTGATGCATAATTATATGCAATACGTGTACGAGAGAGAGAGAGCTCACAACGATGTTAGATTCTTGAGAGCGGGACCGCATACTGAGCAGAGCACGACGATGCGGGTCATCTTCCCGTCATAGAGATTGCGGAGGCCGAGGTCGGAGATTTTTTGGGTTTACATCAGCGTCGAGGAGCACGTAACTGGCCTCACGTCCCTCTTTTTCTTCGGTCTTCCGCTCCTCCTCTCTCCCGTCGGGAACTCTTAAGATGGTTTGCGGTGGACCTGCGGATCGGGCAACGGTCACGGTGGATCGGCGAAATCGAGCATTGGATCGGGCGAAGCTGCGGACCAAGTCAGTTCGGCGGATCAGCGGACCGCTCTTGGGGTGAAAAACCGGAGCCTCTCCTCGCTCCCTCTCTCTGTCTGTCTCTCTCTCTCCCTCTCCCCCCTCTCTCCTGCCTCTGTGTCTCTCTCCGCGCCTGTCTCCTCTCCCTCGTGTCCTTTTGAAATCATACATACATCTCCCCGGGGGCCTCCCCGTGAGCACGTCGAGGAGATGGGCATAAACCGCCAGATCGGCTTCGTGTGGCTCGCCCAAATGAAGGCCCTCTGGGAGAGTTATTCGTGGACCCCACCAAGATCACCTACCCGCCCCCGGCCTTGACTGGAGAACGTGGGACACATGTTGTATCGTCGCCAACCGTTTCATACTACTACTTATATAAGAAAAGAGCGGGAAAAAGAAGAGGGGAGGAGAGTTCACCGTCTGGAGCCGGAAACCGCTGAGTGCTTCATGGGAGATTAGTCTAGCATGTCTCTTCCTCTTCCTCTCTCTCTCTCTCTCTCTCTCTCTCTCTCTCTCTCTCTCTCCGAGAATCTGCTCAATCAAGAGCTGCGGCGGAGCTAATCCCTAGAAGATGATATGAACATCTCTCGATTCCCTATATCGTCTTCTCCAGCAGACTCGGCACCTTCTTCTCCTTCAGACACCGCTTGCTCCACCGATCCGCCCCGCCTGTAACCCCATCGCTGATGGACGTTCCACCAATGGCGCAGCAGACCACCGAAGCCGATCGCCCAGGCGCGGAGATCTACACAGGCGACGACTTCTTCCGCCGGAAGGTCGTCGAGCTCCTCGAGGAGCTCAACCTACCCAGGGGCCCCTCCCCATAGAGAACGTCGAGGAGATCGGCATCAACCGCCAGACCGCTTTGTGTGGCTCCACCGGAAGAAGGCCCTCATCTACACCCACCTTCCGCAAGGCCGCCCGCCTCGTTTCGTGCGGCGCCGAGGGCGCGGGCTTCGTGGAGGACAGCCGCATGCGGCGGGTGATGGGGTGAAAACCAGGGAGCTTATCTGGAGATTCAGATGTCCAAGTGGAGACATGGGTCTAGTTTCAACAAGGAGACATGTATCAGTGAACTCTTATATATGGCACAGAAAAAAAAAAGTTTGTTTCAGGGTGCACAATCTGTATAAATGTGCGTTAAGTACATGGCTGAATTAAAGACACCCCAACTCAAATAGTTCTTGGTGCCAAAGAAATAAGTGGGAAAATGATCGAGATAACTTTCATATCTCCTTCGACTTAGATTCATGGCAAGAGGTGACAAATGCAAACAACCACAATGGCATTGATGTGACTTAGTCGTAAATTTATAAAATTAGAAAATACTAATTTTTAGATATTTATAAGTATTTGACTAAATATATTAATTATTATTTAATAAAACTTTTAAAAATAGTGGTAATTTACTAAGTCGATCACAAGGATGTAATATAATATCGAGTATTTTTTAGAATTTTTTTTAAAGAATATAATTTTTTATAAATTTTATACTAGGAAATAAAAATAAAATATATTTAAAATTCAAAAAATAATAAGGGTGAGGACATCATGATGATGTCAGCACCTGATGAATGTAAATCGAGCAGAAATAGAGTTATGTCTAGTGATTCTTACATAAGCGATTACAAACAATTTAATTAATCAAATTAGGATTTGTAAAAGCTAGAAGAATTGTAATTGAATAAAGTATAACTTGGTAAATTTAAATCACACAAATTATCACTAAATGAAATAGAAATTAAGTTGAAAAAAAGAAAATAGAGTTTTAGTATCGCGGTAGCGGTGCATTAGTGATACACTAAAATCTTGAGTGTTCGAAAGAATTATCATGTAGTGTCCATAGCCTTAAATACTTTCCTTGGACAAGGATGAAGTGAGTAATTTTTAGATCTCCTTGTAAAGTCTAGAGATCAATGAAATGGGTCATCGAATCATCTTCAGTGGCTATTACCTAGCAGAGCAAAAAAATGACAACTTTGTGACTCTTTAATAGCTGTCACCCGATGAAAAAAATATGAATAGAAGTGGAGCACATGTCAAGGAGCTTCATCCTCAAGTTTGCACAATAAGAGAAGGTTTTTTATCACATCCGGTATACTCTTAAAAGGTGACAATTTGTCTCCCGGCAGATCATCTTATTTCTAACAATGACTTGTTCATTGATCGATTGGAGATGATTTACTCAATAGATTCGTATCTTTTTATCATAAATCATTTAATAATTTTAATAACAATACTTCGCAAATCATGTTGACGAAATTTTTGCTAATGATCTATTGATTGTGGCGAGTTAATCCTTCACCAACGATCTACAAAAAAGTCACAATAATCAGATAAAATTACGAGTTTTGACTCTAAGAGGATTTAAACTCACATCAGTTGTCCACCTACATGAGAGAGATTAAAATAAGTATTCTAATACTTTTATCAAGTAACATCATCATGGTATATCTCTATTATAATGAAGGGGTAGTTTAGATATTAAAATCTTTAAAGTCTTTCAAAAGATGGTATGATACGAGTTTAATCCCACATTATTTGTGCATCAAAGTTTTGGGTGAATATATAGTAATATCATATTTGGGAGTAATGAGTCCCTTTCTTCCACATGTACAATCACTCCTTGCTCTGTAGACAACTAGGCACTGATCATGTGGAAGGGGAGTGCTGCACACATCCCCCTCATCAGTCCTAGCTGCTCGAGCCCCTACTCACGGCTCCCCATGACTGTTCTTCTGACCCACTTGTGGGCCCAGTTGACCAACAAGTCACTATATTTTTGCTATATTTTTATTTTAATTTCTTTTTCTTTATTTATCTTAATTATAGGACTACAAAAATTATATAAATTCATAGAAAATTATATAATTAGTTAAAAATTCATGTTAATCAACTAAAAACTAATTTGCATAATTTAATACAAATATAAGTCTATTTATCATGAGTTAAGACTAAAACTATATTATTTACTCATTATTAACTCATGATAATGTAGACTTATCAAGCATCAAAAAGAAAATTGATAAATTTTATTAGCTTAATTAACTCAATACATAGATCATAGGTGAAGAGGAATCTACAAAAATAATACCCTAAAAAGAAACCTAATCTCAAAATGTACAACTTAACACATAGGAACAAGTGACAATGTTCATATGAACAGAAGATTTGACACATTTGCATAGGGTGACATGAAGATGACATTCTATAATATCTAGCAACTTACAAATCAATCCAGATGCTGAATGGACGAGCTGTGCTCAAACGAAACCCATGTTTAAAATTGACATGCAAGACATACATCTGACTCACTAAGTCAAATCCCAATGCATCAAAGATATTTTCCTGAATAGAAAAATCAGACAAAAACGAAAAAACAATGCACCCACCCCTCTTTTGATTCCTCTTGTGGACCATTTGGGGACTAACATTCATTTGAGGCCTCAAAAAGCCTCATCGTCAAATGTCTTTAGTGCAAGCATTGCCTTTGTCTCTCCATCTCCATCATCAATGATATTGGATTTCCATCCTCTTCCTTTTACCGATTTTTTGCACTCTGCTATCTTCTACTGTCTATTGAATGTGACGCCTTATTGTATCATAAGGATGGATACAAGAAGGGACCTGACATTCCATGACTTTCTCAAGCACATGCCTATTTCTGCAGAGTTTGGCCTGCACGTGAGAGGGTGTTGTGCTGTAATAGGCGGCGTTCTCAAGAGTACACTTTGAGAATTTTGTTCATGAAATTAATGGACGTGGTCTATTTATGGTCTATTAACTGGAATTTTATCGTCATATATTTCCAACTTTCGCATCTCCATTCACTACTATCGTCACTTAACCCGTTAAACTTGCCGCTCAAATGAAGAAAAATTGAAGAACAGAACGTGTCACCAAACGGCAGCACTCTTGCGTAAGAGTTGACGTGCCCTACAGAAGACCATGAAATGAGTGAGAGAGAGAGAGAGAGAGAGAGAGAGAGCAGAACGAAGATGATGAGCAAGGTTCCCTTATCTTTTTCCTCATCTTACTTTCACTCTCTCTCTCTCTCTCTCTCTCGTACTAGGCTGTCCAGGAGTACAAAAACAACCCCAGACGACCAACCGAGAGAGAGTGAGGAAACAAAGCCAAAAAATCTGACCGCTGCTCGAAGAGACGCCCACGTGATGCGCTTGTCGGGCATGCAACTCTTCTTCCCGCCGCCCTCTTCCTCCCTCTCTCTCCCATTCCTCGGATAGGCCAATCGAACACGGAGGTCGGTCGGGAACTCCCCGCCGTCCACGTCCCCACCCCGAGGAAGCGATGGGTCCCCCCCTCCCCCATTATCATGTCTCTCCCTCCCTCTCATCTCTCTCTGATCCGAATAATCCCATAGAAAAATATATTATTATTATTATTAAAATTAAATATGCTGGGTACGAGGATGGTGAGAGATGGAGCGGTCGGGCCAGAGTGGCCGTAGATTCCCACCGGTGCGCTAGTCCGGTTGAGGCGGAGCTGGTCCATTAGGCCGCGTCACTCTCTGTGACGTGTCGTCCCCATTCATTTAGATGGGGGGACCAAAGCAGGGGTCATCCGCTCCCAAGCGGGGCCCAGCCACGAGCCGTCGACGGTGGAAGAATACCTCTGAACTCTGCCTCTGCCAGCGGCGGGAGTGGACTGAGGACCCGCAAATGAATGGAGACGGCGGCTGTGGGGCCCACTTTTGACGAGCTGGCCCCCGGGGATTGTTGAGGTGCCCGCGGGATGGGTCCACTCGCATCGGGATCCACGTGGACGGAGAAGGGTGAGGACAAGGCTCGTAGACGGTAATACGTCTGCCGTGTGTGTCTCTCTGGGTCTCGCCACGTGTCGTCGTTCTGTCGGCCAACCATCTTCCATACACGTCAAATATTACTAATCAGGCTCTCTGTCTCACTCTCTCTCTCTAGGAGAACCAATTAACTGCGATGGCAAGATCCTAGAACATATTTTGATGGTTAAGGAGAGAGAGAGAGAGAGAACGGACGGTGGAAAAGATCTTGGATTGGGTGGGG